CAGGATAGTAAAGCCCAATTGTGGATGCAATCTTAAAAAGAGACAAATGTATTAATGATCAACTACGTGGTAGTGCCATGCTGCAGCTATATTATAGATGTAGCACGAATGGGTCGGCTCGATCGGGGATGTACTACGCTCTCACCGAAGGAAATTGAATCATCTCAAATTTTGCAGACGTATTAGAAACTGTATCCGATGAAATTTTATGACTATGGCTGACTAGGGTCATCACAGTTATAATTTTATAATTGATAATTTTTGCTTTAAACTCATATATTTTTTATAATATTACATGCTTAAAGTTATAGATTAATATAGACTGTTAAATTAAGAACCCAACATCGTCAGTGATACCAGTTCATATTTTATTAATAATAATAATTAAATATTAATATTTAAATATAACAGAAAATGCCAAGTTTTTACCAATATATTTGTTTTAAATTACTCATTTATTATCTGTTTTCCGTTCCTTATTAAAAAAGTTGTATTAATGTGATTTTTTTACGTTAAATAAATGATACATAAAATTGGATTATTACATTTGTTATGGTTTGGTTTAGCGGCTTATTGATTGTTTACTTTACGCGAGACTTATTTAACGGCCTTGTAGACTATTTTTGAAAGAACAATTACACGAAATTTTTCAGTTTTTTCAGTCGTTATTACTTCACTTGAAGGCTGTAAAAGTATCTTTAGTTTTCTTAAAAGCAGTTATGAGTACATAATATAATAATAATAAAAATACCTAAGTCTTGGATCAAAATTATGCATAAACAACCAGTTATACTGGTATTAATTAAACGTCTATACGCTAAATGGCGAATTATATATGGTTAGCAAATTTTAGTGCCCTATTACTTAATTATCTTAACTGCAAAATGCTAAACTAAATAGAAAAAATGACTTTAGTAAAAAAACTAATGAGCCTAGTTATAAATAATATTGGTATACTACAAATTAAACAGGAATTGATATTTTCATTAAGAACTTGCTAGCGATTACATTCCTCTCTTAAAAAAATTTAGTCTCATGGTTTTTAGTTCATAATCCAAAGGTTGATATAATACCAATTTTTTTTTAAATAAGGCAAATGACATATTGTTTGAAATATTTACCCGTACTATAATGAGTATGGCGATTCGATATAAGATGTGTAGGCAAACTGGTGAACGTAGTGCCTTGCCTCAGTGCGGGGTTATTGACAATGCATATTAAATTAATAAATAAAGCTATAAAACTATTTCAAAATTACACAGTTCACAATCGCTTATCAGTGACATTTATATAGGTGATAGGGCCACGCTCCTCTTATATTATGGTTGTAGTACGAATGGATCGGCTCGTCCGGGGAAGAACCACGCTCCCACACAATAACAGCGTTAAGTAGAAGCTTAATGGTGCTGTATAAGCGTGTGACGTGTGTTTCGTATACTGGAGAGCGTTTTCACTGGAAAAGAGCCATTACATCTTATTCCCCATGGGTCACAACGCATCTGTTTTTTTTAATTCTGAATCGAGGATAGATGTAGATTACTATGGAGCACAAAATTCACTTACCTGGTCTGTGTGCCCATTTGTCAACCTGATTCTTTAAAGTAAGCCTATTTTAGGTATATATAGAATTTATGCAAGAACTCATAACATATTAAATACTTAAAAACAAAAAAGTTTACGTAATAGCGCATACAGGATACCAGGATACGCTCGTATTATGAAAATCTAACAAAACGTGTATTTCACTAACAACAAAATTTTCTAATTGCACGAAACTGCCATTTTTTTTAAATCTCTGTGAAAAAGTTTTTGATGTCGTAAACAACTATTTTACCAGCGTCGTATTCCAAAGTTTTAATACAAACACGCAAGCAGGAAAAAATTGTATGTTTACCGAGGTAATGCAGAAAACTCACTTACCATTTTAAAAATGTAAAATTATCAAATATCACACTTTTAATAATTCCATCTATAATGAACTGTTCGTAGTAGAAGTAGCTAGTCATATTAATTTTGACACTTTTAGGTATCTAATTTATTTATTTATTTGTTTATTTATTTAGATGGATACACCATCCACAGTATCAATATACATTGTTACAATCAAAATATTATATTTTGAGATAAAGGATATGTCTTTACAGGTGTATACATCATTATAAGAAAAAAAAACTAAACAACATATAAACTCTAAAACAAAAAAAAATCGAACGAACCAATCAAAGTTAAAGTACTACATCCGTAATAATAATACTTTCCGGTAATAATTTTGAATCATTACTACGGTGCTGATATATTTACATTTATCTCTAAAGCAGGATGATGACGATCAGTTTTACTTATTGGAAATGGACATTCGGCAACATTTATATCCTTAAGATTACTTAAAGCAAGGTCAAGAGTTCTGTGATTAGCGCTTTTCACAACATTAAATTGAGATAAATTGTTTAAAGACAAAAAATCAATGAACTGAAATCCCAGATTACAGCTATAACTGTTAGGGGTTAACTTGTTCACAGAATTGGTTTCATCGGTAATCCTGTCTACAAAATTCAAATTCAAATCACCCAATATTATTATGTCGTTGCTACATGATTGCAATACAATATTGCAGTTGTCAAAAAATCCATCTAATGAACTATTAGTTACCGGAGAGGGCAAGTATACTACACAAAACAAGCAGTCCACGAGTTTACCATTAATATTCACTCTCGCCGCAACCCACAAGTCTCCATAACGGCTCTCAAATTGGTTAACTCTTTTAGAGTACAGTTTCTTCGATCCAAGACACCTCCGCCATCAGTCTCGTCCGGACCGCGCCAAAGAGCGGTCACGTCCACCGGTCGTCGACTCCCGCCCGGGTGGGAGAAATACAGCGCGTCGCTTCGCAGTGGGTGCGCGCGCTGTGGGGCCAACTCGGCTTGCGTCGAGCCTTGAGGACGCCCCTACCCCGCCCAGGATGAAGATTACCTAACGCTGCGCATCACCTACATGCTGGGAAGCGAACTCCGAAGGCCCGGCGCGCCCAAGTGCGCGCGCCTGTTGGTGACTTCGGCTCCGCGTCGAGGTACTCTCCGCGGGACTTTGAGGTTGCTGACCCTTCGGCAGATTCCCTTCCCAGAGGCGCGAGATACGCCAGCTTTTTTGCCTAGGAGTGCCAGGCCTTCATCTAGAGCCAGGAAGGAGCACTGGAGGCCCGGAGCAGCTGAAACGCCCTCCTGTCGGCAAGATTGGCCCTGCGTCGACTCCCATCCTCAGGACTCCGCGGGGCTTCGAGACGGCCGACCCTCCGGTAGCACCGACCTGGTGGCGCGCAATACGCAACCAAGAAAACCAACGATGCCGTAAGGCTCCCAAGACCGGCTCATTGTCATGAGCCGTGAGGATAACCCGGGTAATGGGGGATTCCCCGAGGCCCGAAACCTGCATGGGATGAATAACAGTAGTCCCATAGCAGACGACAATCAACGACACCTCCGCCTCGCTTGTCAGCGAAGATGGGTAGAATTACGATCAAGTCTATAAACATTGAAGTTTGCGCCGAAAAGTTCACAGTCCGATACTGTGTCGTCAAGCCATGTTTCAGTTCCCACTATTATATCAAAATGGGTAACCAGTGAAGACAGTTTAATATTGTCCGTCTTAGTTTTCAGACCTCCGAAATTTTGATAATATATATTGAATTTTATTTTGACAGTTACGGTTCTAGTAATATGGCATATCAAGTTATGTAATTTCAAGGTTTTCAGAGAGTCATGGCATTTTATTTGTTTCGCAGGGGTATGGTCTTCTTTTCGCACAAAAATACGACCATTACGGATCCAAACATATTTATAACCCTTTTAACGTGCAATGTTTTTGGTGTTAGCATGTAGTTTTTTGTTCTGAGGGGATAAATTTTCAGAAACATATACGGGTGATTTATTTCCACCTAATCCCAAATGAGAAGAATTATGTTTATATAGTCATATTTTTCTTATTGAAACTGGAAACCGCCGCCAATATTGGATCACGTTTCATTGTAGACTGTAATTTAATTATAATAGAACGGAGAAGATCATTGTTATTATTCATTTTTCTAAATTTAGCACCTGATAGTACTTCAGCGTCCATCAAGGGAAGGAAACAGTAGAGCAAATTTGTTTCGCACAGGGACAGAAAATTTTTGGACTTATTTTCCGGAACGCCGGTGATCTCAATGTTTTATCAGAGATATCTAATGCTTGACTATCCAGTAGCGTTAAATTCTTTTTAGTAACCACGGTGAGTCGATCCCATAAATTCGATTGATTTGATTCGATCCTGTAGATTCGATTTTACTGAGATATTATCTGCATCTAATAATAGATCAAGTCTGAAACTCAATACTCGATATCGTTTTTGCCGAACCTTAAGTGGATGTAATGATGCGAGGAAGCTAAATAAATTGCAGACGAGACAAATTATTCATTACCGTACAAAATAAAAGGAATTGACTCCCATTTTAATAAGGCTTTATAGGCCTTGTATGTGAGCCATTTCTTGTATAATAAGGGGAACAAAATGAGCACATAGTGCAACTAATAGGAAGTGGATGCTGTAGCCCATATAACATCTAAATCTATCCTCAATTAGGAATCAATATGAAAACGCATTGTCACCCCTGAGGACAGAGATGAAATGAAGCAATCCAAATATATGTATATGTTAACGCTAATCCATATTATCTGGTATTGTACAGAATTACTCGGTATTCTGTAAAATACCGGAAACATCCAGGCAATGTATAAAATATTATTTATTTCATACTTTACCCAGATATTCTAATATATATATTTTTTTTTTATTTTATATATATATATATATATATATATAATGTCAGTCCGCTTCAAGATTTCTTATCAGATACACGTCTATACTTCGCTTCTAAACGTTTTAGTAAAAATATAAGTACCATTGTCAACATCCACTACCGAGTGTTTCTCAAACTTATAGAATATTTTCTCCCTACTAACTTCAATATGGTGGTGTGTGGTAAATGTTGTGAGGAAGTGTCTAGCGCCATTCAGTGCTCTGCCTGTCGTAAGTTCTTCGATTACCCATGTTCTGGGATAACTGAAATTGGCTATCGCAAGCTAGGAGTTAGACAGTCATCGTGGCGCTGTGTTTCCTGTAAGATGTCTCAACAATCAACCCGGCCTGGATCACCACTTCCTGAAACTACACGTCAACCTACTCTTGATAATGTTATGATTGAACTGAAGAAGCTTTTCTTAGCTTAGCTTATTTCTTATAACTTAGAATTACTTCTTTAAGAAGTCATCAATGATATTCGAATATTAAAAAACGATATTTCAGATAAATCTAACAACAATATGCTAGAAAAGCTTGATAATTTTGAAAAAAGACTTCAAGTAGTTGAAAATGCTGAGCAAAAAATATGGTCTCTAAAGAAACAGATGAATAAGATGGAAGCAGAAATTAATGAAAAAGATCAGTGGATTCGATCAAATAACGTCGAAATCAAGGGAGTATCATTTAAACCTGAGGAGAATCTTTTTGACATTGTAACTAAATTGGGATCTATAATAACCTATCCTGTGTTGAAGAGTAACATTAACCTGTTTGCTGTTTTTTCTGAGCTAGCGGTTTAATTATGTAACACGTATCCAGACGCGAGATGCTGGGTCGAACAAGACAAAGCCTATTATTCTTTCTTTTATCAACAAATATATGGAAGAAGACTTCATCGCAGCTACTTGCCTGAGTAAAAATATTTCTACGGAAGATATTGGTCTAAAAGGAAACAATGAATTTACATAAATGATCACCTTAGTTATTCCAAAAAGATGCTGTTGAATAAAACTAAAACTGCTGCTAAAGAAAAAAACTACAAATACGTATGGGTCAAGTACGAGAAGATATTTGTGAACAAAATCGATACATCGCAAGTCTACAATATAAAATCAGAATCGGACCTAGTCAAGTTACGTTAATTTACAAATACTCGTTTGTTTATTTATTACTTTTAAGTTTCTGGTGTCATTTAAACATTTACATCTATTTTTCAACAACAGTCAAACATAGTTTGAGAACCGGTGTTTCTTTCCGCCTTATCACAGTCTTATGTCTGCAGTTGCGCCTAATACCCACCTGTTTATATTGTTGTGTTCACGCAATTTGTGTTCCTATTATCTTTAGGATCACTTCTCACACTGCAACTGTAAGTTAACACGGTCGGTTCCATATTATTATTATTTTCTAAGTACCACTTACGATATTACCGTTTATTGCTTTTGGTTATATATATATATATATATATATATATATATATATATATATATATATATATATATATATATATATATCGGGTCGCCTTTTCCTTCTCAGCAAGCAATACTTATAGTGAACAATACTTATAACGATGTCACTTGTTTACTACCGTCTTATTATATAGTAGTATATTATATATTTTGTGAATTTGATAAAGTAAAAGTATCTGGTGTAATTATATTTCAATGTTAATTACTCGTATTACTCGTAATCTTAGCTATTCAATTTATTCATTTGTATTTTCACAAGTAATATTCTACACTAAAGCCGTGAATTTCGACAACCGCTTTAAATTCTGTGTACTATATGTGTGCTTATAGTACTCTTCAAACTTGGTTTATAAAACAAATGTTCTTATTGCATATTATTTTCATATAAGATGGTATAGGAAAAAAATAGTTAATTATTACTGTGCACTTGTGGTGCTTTCAAACAGTGTACATGACACAATTTTACTGCTTGAAATCTTATTTATAACTTTTTATTTAGTTGTTACCGTATATTTATTTTTTACTCGAATAACCAACAAATACTTTATCTGACACTATAAGTTGAATTTCTTATGTATAAATTTTATTCTTTTATTCATATTGAATAATCATGATGGCTTCCTTACACGCTTACTACCAAAATGTTAGGGGCCATAGATCGAAAACTCATGAGTTTTATCGTAATGTTGCAATTAAATAACCAACAAATACTTTATCTGACACTATAAGTTGAATTTCTTATGTATAAATTTTATTCTTTTATTCATATTGAATAATCATGATGGCTTCCTTACACGCTTACTACCAAAATGTTAGGGGCCATAGATCGAAAACTCATGAGTTTTATCGTAATGTTGCAATTAACAACTATGATCTTATCTCATTAACTGAGACCTGGTTATTGGATGGCATATTTGATGCGGAATTATTCGATGATCGTTATTGTGTTTGGCGTCGCGATCGTGATCTTAATCGAACTAAACAATCGCGAGGCGGTGGTGTGTTTATAGCGGTAAGCAAGAACATCGTAGCGGTAGACAAACCTGAGTGGTGTTCTTCAGCTGAAGATGTTTGGGTTTCATTGACGCTACCATGCCCTCGCTCTAAGCGCCACATAAAACTTAACATATGTACTGTTTACCATTGTGATGAAAATATGGGTGCTTTGAATAAAACTATTATATACGGATTTTATCGCGTTTAATTACTTAAATTTATTTTTATTATTATCCCGACGTTTTGGGTGCTTTACAGCACCTATGGTCACGGGGGGACTGAGATGTTTGACGTCCCAATGTCATAGTTAGTCCGGCTACCTTAAGTTTTTTTATCATATTAATTTTTGGTCCGATTAAAAAAAATAATATTATAAAAAAACTGAAGGTAGCCGGACCATGGTCCATGTCCATGTGCTGTAAAGCACCCGAAACGTCGGGATAATAATAAAAATAAATTAAAGTAATTAAACTCGATAAAATCCGTAAATAATAGTTTTATTAAATGTGTAGTGTTCGCGTAAATTTAAGAAATCATTATATGGGTGCTTCCTTCTCTGATCAAGTTATTAACTTTTGCAATACATTAAGGTGAATCCCTGACCAAAATGTTGCGAAAGTGCGTTTTTCGGACTCTATTATCTCATTAGTTATGAAAAATAAACTTCATCTAAAAGTACATTATTAATGTTCGATATCTTATCATCACATTACACGTTCTAATTTATTTTTATGTGCTATAAATACATTTAAAATCAACTTTTAAAAAATGACTAAAATTCTTGATTACATGCATCTGTTGCTAAACGCAACGCTCTAATCATTTGAGGATAACACTAATGGATAGATAATTAAAAGATCTATATTCTCCACGTTTTATTTAAATTTTTAAGTTCGTTTTTTCTCTTTTAATTGAAATAATTCCGAAAATTGTGTGACTTCTATGATAAAGGGGCGTGCGCACAGTGCGGGCGGCATTACGCTGTATGCGTTCATACGAGGTGGCCGCGTCGCTGGTCGCCGCGCGTCCGTATTTCGCCGCAAACATAATATTATTTGAGTACCTACCAACCGATGCGCTTACGTCACGGTATATTGTAACTCGGCCGTATCTTAGAAATAAATATTACAGCCGTGCGGTACGTAAACATGCGATAGTGCTGCTGCCTTCAGTATTTTTACATTTGCCCATTGATTTATGTGTTTTACAACTCAATGCATTTTCCAACTTTGTGTTTCCATTTAGTTTTAGGATTGTACTTAAATATACTTTTTTATATAAACAAATATAATAGGTACTTTGTGAATTGAATAGGAAGTGTTCAATAAAAATGCGTGTCGTTTTATGATTGGTAGATTTAATTAAAAAACCATGTTTATGTTTGAATAACAAATCGGTCTTATAAATTTGCGGCCGAAAAATATTTGCGCCTCGGCTGAGACGTACGAAATGCTTTATTATTAAAATTTTAAATATAAAAAATCCGCATTATAATATAAAGCTTAATTAAAAATTGTTTTGGGAAACATGGACAAGTTGGAGTAAAGGAATATCTTTTACTTGGTTATAGATACCTGCAGCTATTTTACAATTTATATGTTTGGTTTTAAATGAAGTTTGGATTTATTATTTTTTTATTTCTATTCTATTTTCCTTCACCACTGAGCACGTGGTAAATCAACACTTAAAATTGCAATTACAATATTATTCAATTTATATATAATATTGCAATTACAAAATGCCGGCGGGGATCGAACCCGGTTTGCTCGCACACTGTGAAAATTTTAGCAAGCGCTAACCATCTGAGCTACCATGGCTCCTCTCCTCTCGAGCTAGAGACTTTATTTTATTTATCGTCAGGCCTGTTGGTCTAGTGTTTAGTGACCCTGACTGCTATGCCGTTAAGGTCGTGGGTTCGATTCCCACCCAGGACAAATGTTTGTGTGATGAGCACGATCATTTGTTCTGTGTCTGGGTGTAATTTTTCTATAATATTTATGTATTTAGAAATATATAAATATGTTTATCAGTTGTCTAGTACCCATAACACAAGCTCTGCTTAGCTTGGGACTAGATGGCGTTGTGTGATATTTGTGGAATATTATTATTATTATATTATTATTGTTGGGGTATCTGTATAGTTTTCTCATCTGGTTGGTTTTTATAAATATAAATTAAAATGAAAAGATAAATATACATAAATATCAATAAAATAAAATAAATACAAAAAATATACAAATAAATAAAGATCCAACCATATTAAATAAAAAATAGTCTCCTATCTTTCTCTCTATGTTTTGATCTCCTAAAACGAGTTTGAGTTGGTAAAATCAAGGCAAACTTAGGGTAGGGTTGTCAATTATTATTTTGATAATAAAACTAGTGAAATTCCGCGGTTTTATATGCGCAAACGTGAACGTAGTTAGAACATGATATAACCTTTATATTTTACACAAATATCCTAAAAAACTTATTATTTTAATATTTTACTAAGTACCTATAAAATTAACAAGTTTATTGCATTTTTATTTGAGTAATTTTTTATGCAATTTCTTTATCTACGTCTATTTTTAGGAAACTTTATTTAGTCTGAATCATACATAACACTATATTACTGATTTACTTACTTATACGTAGTTTTTTTTTTGCAGTTACAAATATCTTGTGAGGTTGAAAAAGGCAGTAATGAAAAAATAATAAGAATAATAATAATTGACGTCAGCCACTTCTTTTCATAAAAATTTCAGATCATGGTCCATTAGGTTGCAGCTACGAACCACAACTTATAATAGTAATAATAACAATAATAATATAATATTATTTTGTATTTATTTTATTTTATTGATATTTATGTATATTTATCTTTTCATTTTAATTTATAATTTTTATACATTTAAATATTTATGTAACCGAACCAGATGAGAAAATTATACGGCTCCAACGATTTTAGCGACGAACGCTTG